CCCACGAGGCTCAGGCTGCACTAGCAGGTTATCCAGTAGCCACTTATCTGTGTGCCCAGCAGAACAACTGCACAAGGAATTGCACCCTCCTTCGTGCCCAGACTGGAAACCCAGTCTGGCATAGAGCACCTGCAGCCAACAGCCAGAGTTCGTGCCCAGACTGGAAACCCAGTCTGGCATAGAGCACCTGCAGCCAACAGCCAGAGCCACAGGCAGGACTGGGCACGTGCTTGGCTTTGTTGGGCTCAGTTTCAAGGATCGGACTCAAGCACTCTTCCCTCTAGAGCTGCAGCGGGCTCCAGCTCCAGAGGGAGCTCTGCTGCCTTGGCTTGTCTCCAGACTCTCATCCCATCCACCTCAGGCTTCACATTCCTGCTGAGTTCAAAGCAGAAGGAGACAAGCAACACGATGGGGGTACAAAGGGTAATATTTTGAGGATACCAAAACGGGCTGCCCTTCAGACATCGGGAGGAAGGGAAGCAGCTCTCACCAGGCGCTTTGTCCCACGGCATCCACTTTGTCCCACAGGAACTGCCAGAGGTGTCTGTCAGACCGACCAACGTGGTTTTATTCCCTTGAGGACCAGCTCGGCTACAGAAGAGCATTTCTGAGCCTGCTGCTGCTTTTGGCCCCAGTTTCTGCTTTAAAAACCCAATGAGCAACTTGGAACCCAGCCTGAAGGCTGAGCCTGACCTGCCCTGAGGAGCACATGGGCGCTGCCAGCAATGCCACAGCACAGGCAGGGCCTCAGCCCCGGATGATTCCCATGATCCACCCCCAGAGGAGGCATTCCAGGCTGGTTCTAACCCCACTGGGTGCAGCTGGGCTTCCCACTTTGCTTCCTTGCAGTGAAACAAGCTCCTGTACAAGATGATTCCAATCAATGCCAAACTTTGCCTCTATCCATTGCCTCTGTCAAAGTCTCCATTGCCATTAGCTCCAAGCTCGTGTCTCCAAGAGGAGACAGCACCAGCTCTGCTTGCTTGAAAAGATGAGGGATTAATAAAGCAAAACCCAGCTGACTGGAATACAGAATTGTTAAATACTTATTTCTTCCTCATTCCTGCAGGTTTGGAGCAGGAGGAGTCTGTGCTGATACCATTTCAGTTTGGGGATTCCTTGTAGATGGATTTTTTTTTTAACTTCACAAAGCTTTTCTCATTGCTTATGATCAAGCACCAGATGGGGCAGGGGAGACATGCTGGGCATTTCAAACTGTGCTCCTGTTTGTGTCTAAGGTTTGCAGATGCATCTAATGGATTTGGAAGTCCAATTCCTAGATGAGAATTTGCTCTGGTAGATTTTAATGCTCATTTCAATAGGGTAGCTGCCTCAGGCTCACTGAATGGTAATATCCTCCCTGGAGGTGGGGATGGTGCTTGCAGCAACCTGGAGAAGGAGCTGTTGGATAAGTGGGAGGGAGCAGAGGTGCAAAAGCAAATGATGGACTGATTGTTCCTGCCTGGGGAGGCCTGGGTGTCTCTGAGCCTTCCACTTTGCCCTGTGGCAGGAACAGCTGGATTGGAGCAGCCTGCCTTTGGCTGCAGTGCTTGAGAAGTGAAATCCATCCAGGATGGATGCAAGACAGGAGCAGACAGGATCCAATGCAAACGGGATGCATCAGAATGGGCCAGAACGTTATAGGGGGACTGGAGCACCTCCCCTATGGAGACAGGCTGAGCGAGTTGGGGCTGTTCAGCCAGGAGAAGAGAAGGTTGTGTGGAGACCTCACAGCCTGTTCAGGGAGCTGAAGGGGCTACAGGGAAGCTGGAGAGGGACCCCTCATCAGGAAATACCAGCACAGGACAAGGGTCACTGGCTACCCATGCTAGAGGGCAGGGTTTGGTGGAATACTAGGAAGGAATTTTTCCCTCTGGGGATGGGGAGGTCCTGGCACAGGGTGCCCTGAGGAGCTGTGGCTGCCTATGGATCCCTGGAAGTGTCCAAGACCAGGCTGGATTGCACGTGGAGCAGCCTGGTATAGTGATGATGTCCCTGCCCATAGCAGGGGTTGCAACTGTGTGATCTTTAAGGTCCCTTTTAACCCAAACCATTTCATGAATCTATAAAATAAGCATCCATGTTTCTATATCAAACTCATTCCACAGAATGTATTCCCAGGTCACTGATTTCAAACAAAGATGGCAGAACACAGGTTATTGTTCTTTCACACAGCACTCCTAGTTAACTTTCAGTCTGGTTACATCAGGGCTGCCTTCAGCTACTCCCTGCATTCATCCTGCAGTCTCCACAACCCTTAGGATGAAATTTCCCTCTGTTCCCTTTTCCTTTGTGCAATTAAACAGGCTATTTGCTCTAATAAACAGCTGCTGCTGTTGGGATCCATTTGTTGCCTGTTGGGAACAAACAAACAGGGGAGACACAGATTGGGGCAAAGACAATCCACAGCCTCTGATATGTAGCACGGTTTTGGGAGAATTAACAGTGCTGCTAATTAATTCTGTGTGCTGCCCAGTGACACAGGGTGCGTTTGCCTGGGCCATTCTCTGTGTGACCATGAGTTACAGAAAATTGCAGGAGAAGAACTCGTATATTTGTGAAATGTCAGGAGATTCAGCCTGCGGGACTCCATAGTAGGGGGAAGTTAATCTTTAGGTTACTCCATCCTTCTCCACATCTGAAAGTTCCAGGGGATCCAAATGCATTCCCACTTCCACAGGCAGCAGAAGAAGGGCTATGGGCAGGTGTGAAGCTCAAGAATTGATACTTGGTAAAAAAACTTCAGGGAACTGTAGAAAAATTAGTTCCTGCCCAGTATGATGCTCCCTAAGTCTTCTCTCTCTCTCTGAGGTATGTCTCTTGAAGTTTTTGAGTGGGAAGAAAACACTTAAAACTTGGCATTTCCTGGCAACTGCCCACCCTGTAATCTGTATTAAAGCAGGGAAGGGATGCTGCTGGTGGGGAGGAGATGGAGTGGGCAGGAAAAGGACTGGGCTATGAGGTCTGCAGGTAAAGCTGCCCCGTGGCCCCTGCAGCCAGGGATGGGTCCCAGGAGCAGCACCAGAGCTTTGCCTCAGCCATCATGGAAAAGCAGGTGAGGCCTTAGCAGGGGCACTGCAATGGCAGCACTGCAGACAGAACCAGATAGGGTCTGAAGAAAAAAATACTCCCCAAATATTCCCTCGAGAACCAGCAGCCATGCTGGTGTGTGCTGGTGCTGCCCACCACATTCCAAGGCAGCGCTGGAGACCCCCAGGGCCCCGCTGGGACAATCCTTGTTACCTTGCTACCTGTGGGAACAAAGGGAGAGCTGAGGCAGGGTCGAGGTACTGACAGGGATGAGCAGTCCCAGGAATGCTTGCTTCCAAAGGACTTTCTCACAGCTGAGGAGTTTGCAGCTGCCTCAGGGTGAAGTCAATCCGAGACTCTTGGGCAGCTGCACAGGAGGGAACTTGGAAGCAGATTTTAGGGGGATATGCCTTAAATCCCTGAGAGCTTAGTGCCAGAACATCTTTCAAGGTGTTGGTGAGTGTGCCTGGTGTCCTGCCAGGACAGAGCCCAGCAGATAAATATCTGGAACACAAATGTATTGCACTAGGGAGGTGGCACTAAGATGGACTGTAGCTTGAGATATCAAAATAATATCACAGGGATAAAACAATAGCTACTTTTAATGTGGGCTGCTCCAGATTTGGAGTTTTTAGCCACACTCAGCATCAGTGACCCAGTGGGTGAGGTTCCCAAAGTCTCCCAGCTCTGCACCCTTCTCTCTTTATGCTGAGGGTCTGCAGCCCTCCAGCCCCTCACCTCCTCCTGTCCACGGCTGTCTTAGGCAAACCAGGCACCAAGGTTTGGAGGAGCTTGTGGAGTCGTACCAGGGACCTGACACCTTCCAGCAGCCCCCACACCTTCTTCACCCTGCAAAAGCAAAGTACACAGGCTGAGTTTAATGATGGCAGAAGGCAGCAAAAGGGGTGGATGTTCATGGTAAATGCACACTGTAATAACCTTTTCCATAACCAAGAGGTGCTGTGGCATTCCCACCAGCCATACCTGCTCTCCCTTGGATCTTGCCTTCAGGGAACACCGAATCCCTGCATGTGTCCCTTCAGCTGCCCCACCACTGCTAAAGGGACAGCCCTGGTTTGTGTATCATGCCTTAATGCCTCTGTTGGGATGTTCTTACCCCTTCCTGAATAAGGCTGGGAGCCTGTATGGCTGCAGCAGGACCTTTGCAAGTGGGTCCTGTAGTCCATTCACCTGCTCCTTCTTCCACAAGCCTGCACTCAAGGAATGACAGCAGAGAAGGAAATAAAGACCAGTAATTACAAATAATGAAATAAATTCAATAGCTCCTCTTGCCCAGCTCTGGTAGGTACTGAAGCCCAGGCAGAGTCCACCTGGAGCCACTCTTACAAAGTCTTTTTGCAATAGAAATATTTACTCTAATAAACAACTCAGTAATGTCTGAAATATAACACTGCTGCTCTTGAAGGCTGCAGCAGCCCTAAACCCAAGCTGATCACCCCAAATCCTCTACCTGGCAGGAAGTAAGGGGTCAGGCACTGAGGGACCCTTTTGTGCAGGCCGGGGTGTGTCCCATTGGATTTTCCAGAGTCATTTTTCCCACAGGTGCTGCCAAAGCGGAAATTGCCATCGAAGTAATTAAAGCCAAAGGCATCTGGGAGACACAGAGAGAAAGGGATGATGCTTGTCTGTGTCACACTGAGGTGTCCCTCAGGCACTGGGGCGTCACTTACTGTTCCTGTACAGGAAAAGGGCAGTGTCCTGGTATCCCTGAGAGAAAATGTCATTCAAGACCTGCAAGGAGAAACACTCGAGGTCATTAGAGAGCCCTGACCCCAGTACTACAGGATCTGTCTGTGGAGGGTTGGGATGGCCCATTTGGGAAGGCACTGGTTGGTTTCCAACCACCACAGCACCGGTCAGAGAAACACAGAATGGTTTGGGTCAGAAGGGACCTTAGAGATCACCTGTTTTTTTCTGGTCCTTTGCAGGTTGTGGACCCCATCCCAAGCTAGCACCCATCAGCAGTGTCCCTTCCCCAGAATGTACTGCAAAAATAGTGAGTGCTGCCCCCTCCCTTTGAAATCCCATTAATTAACAGTGGAGATTGAGCTGAACCTTAAATCTTGAGAAGGCAGGAGCAGCATTAATCTTTTCACCAAAACTAAGCTGGGAGAAGTCCTGGTGGGCTCACCATGGTGCTGGGTGGAAAGAGAGCGTAGCTGATCCTGCACAGGTTCTCTATGGAGATCTGGATGCTGCCATTGAAGATCTGGAAGCAGAAGAAGATGGCAGGGCAGTCGCGGGGGCAGATGTCCAGCTCGCCGGTGAACGGGGACACGGTGATCACAGGTTCCTCCAGGCTGGACACAGGCTGCAGGCCCGTGAAACCTCCATCCACGTAGCGCTGGGGGAGGAGCAGAGCAAGGGTTTGCTTTGGGGGTCTTGGCAGTGTCACTGAGTTGGGAGCCAGCAGCTGCACAGATGACATTCCTGTCATGAGTCCATCCCCACTTCCAACAGCGTCTTGTCCCACCTGTGCTCCTTACTCCTTCACCAGCTCCTTCCCCTGCCCTGGCCCTGGCACCCAACCAGCTCCTCAACCTGGTCTGTAATCCACAGCAGTTGTTAAATTGGAAATACAATTCTTTCATTCACAAAGCTTTGTACAACAATTTTTGGCAGTCAAGAGACAATTCAGACATCACCGAATGCACAGTGTTGTGTAACTTTCAAGTCCTGAGCTTGAGCAGTAAGAGCCCCCACGTTTAATAATTGCCTGCAGATTCATGGGGGATTACTCACTGGGCAGGGAAAATGTCAATTGCTCTATTCCAAAAGAAATCTGGATTTTCCACCCACCTCAATGGGATTGGAAGTCGCAGCTGATGAAATTAAATGTTGCTGAAATAACAGTGCAGAGAGGCCTCACAGAGCAATCACACACCTGGGGATGGGTTGGGTTGGAAGGGATCTTAAAGCTCATCGCATTCTACCCCCTGCCATGGGCAGAGAAACCTTCCACTATCCAAGGTTGGTTCAAGTCACATCCAACCTGGCCTTGAACATTTCCAGGGACCTTGGAGACCCTGAAGGGGCTCCAAGAGAGTTGAAGATGGAGTGATAGAGAGTTGAAGGGATAAAGTGACAGGACAAGGGGCAATGGCTTCCCACTGCCATTAGGGTTAGATGGAATACTGGGAAGGAATCCTTCCCTGTGAGGATGGTGAGGCCCTGCACAGATTGCCCAGAAAACACTGCCAGTGGAAAACACTGCCAAGCTCCTCCTTCCCCTCCCTCAGACAAGCAGAGCATGGAAATGCTCAGGGCTGGAGGAGGATCCTCCCACGAACTCTCCATGCCTCAGCTGTGCAAGTCAGCACCTGAGCCGAGGGATGAACCTGCCCAGGATAACTGGATTGTGTCTCCAGGTCCCCACCGTGGGCATCCTCTTATCTCACTCAGAGATCTGCAAGGTCATCCACACTCTGTCCATGGGCAAAGCAGGAGAGGACTCTCCACATGGCAATTCCACCCGGCCGTCATCTTAGGATGTGGTGAAGAATAAGCTGATGGGCTTTATCATCTTCCATCAGCTAAAGGAAAAGCCTGGAAACACCTATCCCTCCCTGGTCTGTACATTCCTCCTTTACAGAGGAATGTAAAGTTCAAACCAAGAACCCCCTGCTGGGAGCGTGTGTTTTAGTGGAAATATCACTCACCACTCCTCGGTAGGATGGAGGGATGAATCCACAGTAAATTGGAAGAAAGCAGCTGCAGAGGAGAGCCTGGGGAGGAGAGGGATTGCAGAAGTCAATGTTCCTGTCAAAGCTGCTGTCTTGGTGCCTGAAAATTCAGCCTTAACAAAGTCTGGAACCAGGCTGTTGGTGCCACCTGGACTTTGCTAGAGACTGTGGCAAGAAAGGCTTCAAGAAAGGGAAAACATCTGATTTCATTGAAGTGGAAACACTTCTCTGAAGGAGGGCACAACACTGAATTTTTTAATTTTATACCTGACAGAATAGTTGTAAATCTACATGTCCGTGTCCAACGCTGTCCTTTGATGGTGGCAAGCTGAAGCTTTGGGGCTAATTTCCATCTTTGCAGGATTTTGGACAAAATCAAGACAGCCTCACAAGGCAACCTCACCCTGCTGGGATTTGTCAGCAATTTGCAACCATTTCCCACCAATCTCATCAGCTGAGAATAAACACCCTGGTCTCCTGGGCTACCTAGAGGAGGCACCATGGGGTGAACTCCAATACCTCCATGGAGTTGCCATCCTCACTGTCTCCCTGAGACAAGGGACCCAGGACTTCACAGTCAGCTCTGTTAGGATTTTACCCTGGGATTCTCCCCCCAGCAGATAATTTACTGGTTAATGAGCTGCTTGTTGTTCAGCAACAGCTTTGTCCAGCTCTTTCCTCCCAGGAAAGTGCTGAGGCAACAAGGAAAAGCATTGCCAGATGCCTGAGGAAAGACCTGTAGGGACAGCTGAGAGGTCACATCAGCACTGACAGGGCTCTTTGAAAAAGTCACTATTAGAGCCCCAACATCAGCTTTATGAAGCTGGAAACAAACCTGCTGCTTTTTCTAGCATGATTTGTTCCATCTGATCCTGGAACTCAGACCTTCCTCCCTGCCACCAAGCTCGTGGAGCCCATTGGTGTAGGACCACAGCTCTGGCAGAGCCTCTTGCCTCTCTCCCCATCTCAAGCAGAAAAAGTGCAGCTGAAGCCACCAGCACTTGCAGTATGTCCATCCCAGGCAGCCAGTGAAGCCCTTCCTAAGGCACCAGAGGAAGGTCTCTACCTGAATGAGCTCCTCCTTGGAGCTGAACTCCGAGGCCATGACGTTCTGGCCGTCCACCACCCGCGTCAGCGAGATGTGCAGCCGCCCCGAGGCCAGCAGGTAGGAATCCTCCGGCAGCATCCGCTGCAGGACAGCCTTGAGATTGGCCAGCAAGCTGCACTTGGGAGAGAGGGGGCCCAGGATGGTTTTCCTGACTTCTGTTGCCAGCGCAAAGAAAAACTCCTTGAGGTCATCTGAAAGAGGTGAGGGAAAGATGGAGAGAAAGTCAATATGCCTGCTGCACTAACAGTTATATTTTAAATCCTATTTTTAACACTCCTCACAAATAAAGCTTCTTGCAGCCCCTCTGTGTTACCCCAGGATGATATTGCTGCTACAGTGGGGGATGTTGAGGCAGGGCAGAAAGGGGGGCATGACCCCCATAATGTCCTCAAAGGACATCATGTCTTTGTGTGACCCCACTGGTGAAATTCCCCACCTGCACCAGAGATGGGGCCTCAAGATGTTCCTGGTCGGGATTAGGGAAAGGCTCCAGAGAGCCCCAGGAAGGGGCACACTGAGTTGTCCATGACAATGAGACTTGCACAACACATTCCTGCCTTCCTCCTCCAGTTTTCCATGTGGGCAGCCCCAGGCTTTACAGGGAGCTGGGCTGGCTCCCGAGTGAGGATGAGGGTACAAGAGGCACCTCTTCTGCTCAGGGTTTTCCTGCAAGCTAGGTGTCCTGGCTCCACATTGCTGAGATTTCTGGCTCACCTGATCTCCCCCTGGACCTCAGACCTCTGAGGAGGTGTTAATAGCCATGACATATGTCTGCAGATCCCAGGAGCTGGGTTAAAGGAGCAGAGCCCTGGAGCCCTGGCCAAGGGTTCAGGAGACTCCAGGCTTTAAAGGTTTCACTGTGATGGGGAGGAAGAGGAGTGAAGCAAACCCTGCAGGCAGCCTGATCCCATATAGAGGGAATTTGGTGCCTTTGCTGACATGGAAAGCTCACCTGGGGAAATATCCCACCTGGGGTTAAATTCTTGCAGTGAAGCTTGTCCAGCACTGAAGCTGCAAAGAGTTGTCCTTGCACCTGGGACCCTGCACCAGCAAGAGGCCACGGGCCTGGCTCAGCACCAAGGCTTTGCAGGGGCACAGGTTTCTGTGCAGTCTCATGGGATTGTGTGGACGGACAGACGGATTAGGTTGCGTGTCCTGAAGGCAACTGGAGCAACACAGGCATTAAGAGGGGTTATGTGTGTCTGAGCAGATGCTGAGGCCACACGGGGCAACAATTAACACTGGGCAGGTTTGCACGGAGGGGATGCTGAAAGAGCCGGACCTCCAGGGGGGTGGTGTGAGAACCCCGGGCTTGGTCTGGGGTCTCGTGTGGTGGTAAAGTCTCTCCTCCAAGCCGTGCTTCCAAAGAAAAACTCCACAGCCCCTTGTTGTTCTGTCTCAAGGCAGTTTATTGTGAGTTATCTAAAAGATTTTCTTCTCAGGCTGCGGCTGCTTGGTCAGCGGCCTGGGCAGAGGCACACACACACCCTGACAACCTCCCTGTCTGCTCTCTTCTTCTTCTCTATCCCCACCCAGGGCTGCTGCTATCTTTTATATGATATATTATCTATTATATGTTTACAGTTTTTCCCCAATACCTACTACCTATATTACAAGGTGCTTTTCTATTCTAAACCAATCTGTGAGTGCCAACATCACCAAGAACATGGAGGTGAGGAAGAAGAAGGAGGAAGAACAGGATCAGCCCACTTTCCTCCATCTTAGAACTTCTGACCCCCATGTACAAAGTAAAAACCCCCCTGTACAAGTGTTAAAACCCCCCTGTACAATACTAAAAAAATTTCCCCTCTGTTTTGTAGCTACTTTTGCTATACCCTTTGTGACTGCTTGTTCCACCTTCAAAGTTGGTAACTCATTCCATGGCTCAAACTCAAAATCACAGCTGTTTTTCAGCTGCCTGCCAGGGTCTAGAATGCTTCTGACCAAGGCCTGGAACCTCTAAAAATGTCTGAGAGACACTTTGAGTTCCAACAGGGTGGGGCACGCCCAGGTCCCTGTCCGGCTGCTCTGGGTCCTGGGAATAGGGGAAAGCATGGGAAAACTGCCCACAAAGTGCCGAGTAAGATGTGAGAGCTGAGCCCAGCTTTGCAGAGCAAGTGAAGGACGAGCCTGGCAGCAATGTGACTGCTCCTGCCTGCACCAGCCTGGTGACAGGGATGTCCCCACGAGGTGACTGGTGGGGTCACAGAGGACAGCCTGGCTCTGGGAGCTCAGAGCTCCTCAGCCAGCCCAGGGCAGGGGACGGGCACCTGACTGCAGCCACCCCGTGGGACACCAAACACACCTTTCACCCTCTTTTTGACCCTATCATCCCCGGTGTGAATATGACAGAACTTGTGCCACATTCATTTTCCTTGTTGGAAACCCGACCAGAGTCATCACTATCCAAAGTGTCTTTTCTTCCTCTGGGGAAGATATTTTGGGCAAAAGATCATCTCAGCCCCCCTAAATGGATGGTGCCTTCCACCTCCAGGGAAGCAGATGCCCAGTTCAGGACTGGTGCCCCCAGCAAGAGCAGTTGTTGAATGTATTTTTACTGCTGGACAGACCCAGCATCCATTAGAGCAGCAGGAGGAATCAGAAATTTTGGGGCCCTTGCTTATTTATGGAGGCATTCATCCCCATGTGGGCAGAAATGTTCCTTTCTGCCTTGTCTAAACGTATTTGCTAATGTTTTGAATTATTTTTAACTGCAGAAGAACAGATCCAGCACCCACCAGAAGTTTCAGGAACCGTTGTGTTCCCTCCAGCTTCCTCCATCATTATTTGGTCCCCAAAACCTTCTGCTCCTCCTATGAGTCCCTATTACTTGAATCAAAACTTGGATCAGGCTTTAGAGCCTTGAGTACACTTGTTTACACATGGGCACTAATTGGAAATATGGGAGGATGTGATGATTAAAAGTGGATTAACTACTCTGAATTAATTCTCCACATGGAGGATCTTGTTGCTAGAGGGACTTGTTTCCACATGGTTGAAAGAGGGTCAGAGGAAAACCCCTTTAGAAATAAGAGAAATCCCGGCCCCAGGTTGGAGCAGACTGCTGTTCCTCCAGGATTATCCTGCTGGAGCAGGGGAAGGTGCACCCGGAGTTGGGAATCACACAACTCCTCCCCTTGTTCTGGGAAGGCTGAGTGGGATAGGCCAAAGTGGCATCAAACAAGGCTGTCAGCTCTATAGATAGCTGTGTGACAACCACTTGTGTCCCTTCATAGCTTCACGTCCCGAGAAACGTGATCCATGGGGAAAAGAGGGCTTTATGTGGGTAAATCCAGCCCCTGAGGCTGCACAGACGGACACCTCAGCACCCCTCAGACCTGAGAGCAGAAGGGAAGGAGATCTGCTCCTCCAGCAGAAGCAGGAAAAGGAGACAGTAGAATATGGAATATGGAATGACTGGTATACATGCAGATTTCCCCCTAATTTCCACCCACTGAGCCAGCGATCACTCGGGCTGTCAGAACTGGCCTTTTCAGCTTCCACCTCCCAAAACTACGCTGCACTGGCTGCCAAGGGTGGCAACACCTTGGGTTTCTGTAAAGCCTGGTGAGCGAGGAGAGTTCCACCAGCCCCACCGCCCCCCAGCACCCCGGGGCATCACCCCTGGGTTTATGGAGCACAGAGCTCCCGGAGGGTTTTCTTACCGAGGCCGACGCCGCACACGACGGCGGCGGCGATGAGCGACCCGGCCGAGGAGCCGTAGACCTTGCAGGCAGACTTGAGGAGCTCAGGAGCCAACTCCAGCAGGGACTGCACCACCCCGACCTGGTACAGGGCCAGGAAGCCACTGCCCGAAAAGGAGAGCGAGAAAGGGGTGCTGGAAGCCTGGAGATCCTCCACAGCCATCTCGAGATCACAGCAGTGGATCTGAATCAAGGTCTTGGGGTTGTCCTTTTTCACCAGGTGAAGCTCAGCCTCTCTTCTACTCTGCTGCCTCCAGGCTCATCTCTAGCTGCAGAGGAGTCCAGAAGACGGATTTTCTGCCGCCTTTTATGACAGCTCCCCGAGGCGTTGAGATTCGCAAGCTATTTTAATTGCTGCCTGTGCTAAAAATGGAAATTTTCCCCTGATCAAAACAGCTCTTATAATCCTCAACCACAGCCAACTCGGATGCTCAGGGCTCAATCAGGGCTCTCCTCTCATGCCAACAGGTCTGCAGTGCCCCAGGAGCCCTCCCAGAGAGGGTCCTGGTGTTATTGTGCCTGTCGCACTTGGAAACGTCCGTGCAAAAATTCCTCTTTGCTTCATGCTTTCTTCATCAAAGGGTGTTTTCCTAAATTGGATTCTCCATCAATCCCAGCTTAGGCACAGCTCAGTACTGAGTGAGTAAAGGCTTGTATAAGACATTTAAAGCCAGAGAGCGTTACACAAGGGGTGGATGCAGGGCGTTACATTGGGATAGGTTTGGAAATATTCTTTAGATTTGCTGCCTGTTGGAAGGGTCTTGCCCTTGCCTGACCCTTGGATATTGTTTGCATCAGACAAAAACCAAAGAATGGTTTTCTCTCCCCTCTCAACAAAGCCCTACAGCAGCACCAGATGACCCAAACCTGTGGTTATTGAACTGGAATCAAACTGCCTTTGAACTGGAATCAAACTGTCTTCATTGTCTGGGGGATAATTATAAAACCAGGGAGAAATGCCACAGATTTCTTGTCTTTTCAGCCTTAATAATCCAATGCTGCTGCCAACATACAGAACAAAAATTGCCATTTAAACAGATGTATTTATTAAGTACTGGTAAATATTGTGTCATTTCTGTTGTCCAAATCCACAGAGCTGCACACTGAGAGGAAACATTCCATGGGTTAGGATTAGGGCTGTGTACACAACACAACGTGGGCATGTGGGTAAGGAACAAGGCTCTCCTTCCCTGTGTCTGTACACAGTACAGGGAACCATGGCATGGTCCCAGCATCCTGATACCACCTTTGTAGTGCTGTTTCACCCCAAATTTTCATACATTTTTCCCTGTATTCTCCAGCCATGACTGGGTCCTCAAGGCAGGAATTGGAGCAGAGTCCCCCACATTGACATGCAAAATGTGCCTGGGTTGAAATGTCACCAGAAGCAGCAGGTGGACATTGCCTGGAACCCCCCAGGTAAATGTCACAGCACAGCCAGGACTGGTCTCTGGGGCTCCCTGGATGTCAGGACACACAGAAGGAGGTTGCCAGCTCCAAGATATATCTAATAAAGAATGGGATTACCCTGGAGCTGAACAACTGCCTGATTTAGGGCTTCTAGATCCACAGCCTTACTGGAGCCCCTAATTTCTTTTCTTTCCAGTGTCTGACATTTCTTATGATCTCCTTGCTGGGTGAGTCTCCCACACGCCCCAGCCTCTCCACCAGCCTCCTGGAAATATTAAAGCTCTGATCTGCATCATTCAGGCCACTGGCTCCTCCAGCCCTTAGGAAAGCAAATCCCTTCATTTAAAGGATTTTCTTCCAGCACTGGCAAGTTCATGAAGGATGAAACTATCACCTGCTGCTGTGACTGGTCCAGACACTCCAGGACACTGGAAGTGCAGAGGGTTTGTATGCTGATGAGTTGTTTCCACATTCTCTGTGCATTAACTGTTCCTATTGTTTGCCTCAGGCCCCCAGGGACTCCAACTATCTCTTCATAAAGAGGTGTAGGATGCTCCTGCTTCACTCAGCCCTTGCACCTCCTCAGCCGTGCCCAGCCCTGACTCCCAAGGTTTGGGAAAGGTATAAATGATCCCATGGAAGCTGTGGGAACACACTCCTCTGTCCACACACAGCTCTGTCCTGCACTCGGTCACGGAGGCTTCTCCTGGAGGGCCAAGGTGCCAAATCTCCCCTGCACCCTCCCCACTGCCAACACCACAGCCCGGGACAGCATCCAGGAGGCATCATCCTGCCTGGCTCAGTTCCACGCTCCCGTGAGATGAAACCTTGTCATCATCCTCTTAGCGACAGCAAATTTTGCATTAATTGGCTCATTAAGTGCCGAGCTGATTTTCTAAGCTGCCCTACCCCCCAGCACTCCAAAGCAGGATTAGAGGGCACTGAGGGCTTTGGAGATGCAGGGTCCCCACAGCAGCTGGGAGGGTCTGGGGTGAAAGCCCCCGGCTCACAGGAGCCCTGGGGGGGCTGGGGGCCGTGCAGGGCTGTGTCCTGCCCGGGCAGGATCATCTGCTGCCCAGATGGCCGGTGCCCATGACCCGGGGATTTTCGTGCGAGGCGATTGTCTCCGCTGAGGGAAGCCACAACGGGGTGTTCGGGGGAGGATGAAGGTAATGCCGAGAGCTGGAAACGGCTCAAACCCCCAGGACTAATAACCTGCCCTTCTTTAAAACCTTCTTAATATCTTCAGTGGTCACAGGCAGCCAGGTCCCAATTTTATAATCAGAAGATTAATCCAGGGAGCTGGAGTTGCTCACGGGAAGGGACCTGGACTCCAAAAGCCACCAGCCCTGGGGTATAGCACTAAGGCAGCTGTGGCTGCTCCCCACCTCATCCCACCATGCCCAGCTGGAGCAGCAGCCCTGCACACTGGGTTGGGATTTTTGAGAGCAGGAACCTCCTGTGCAAGGGGCTGGGCAGGTTTGGTGCCTTGTTCCCCCAGCACAGCTGCCCTGATGAGTGGGAAAAGGTCCAGTGAGCAGAGGAGAGTGTTTGGTTCAGCTGTGGTATTGGGAATAGCACAGGAGAAGGGAATGGGAGTTTTCCTCTCTGATGTTGCACCTGGCAGGTGCATCTCACATGCTGATGGAGGATGATATCTTCCGGGACAAGAGGATATTTGACTTTCCACTGGGAAGTCCATGAAGAGACAGAGCCCTTTTCTGCTCCATGCAAATCCCAGCCCATCCCTGGCCCCACATGAGCTCAGATGCAAAACAGATTGGGGCATCCTGTGACCCTCTGACCACATCCCCAGCACCAGCTCCCCAGCCCTGGTCCCAGCACAGCCCCAGGGTCTGGCAGGGCACGTGAATGTTTGGATTGTTGCAAACAAACGAGGGCAGTTCCAGTCTGTCCACAGTAAAATCTCTTGGGTGGTTCCCAGCCAGAAGGAATCACAGTGCTGATGCTGTTGGCAGGACCCAGGAGTGGGATTTAATGTTTTCCACACTCTAATTACCCCAGGCTGCATTAGATGGAGCCCTGCAAGGTGTCCCCCCTCCCTCGGCAGCTGGTGACTCAATCCTGTGTCTGTCAAACACAGCCCTGAAGGCTCTGGGAAAGTGGATCTGGGTGGGGAAGAGTTGCTTCTGTCCTGTGAGGGCTCTGCCTCCCCATTTTCATTTACTTTGGGGTTTACAAGGACCAAGAAGGTCAGATCCTCAAGAAGAGGAGGTGCTGGGCAGACCTGGACTGGCACCAGTGGCCCATGGGGGATTGCCACCCAAAATGTGGCAGTGACACACACCCACACGTTTGTTTGCCACCACCATCACCCTCAACTCACTAGAGCATCCCTCCTGCACAATGCAAACTCCAAAACTTCATCTCCTTCACCCCAGGCCAGGTCCAGCCTTGCAGAGGAGATTCTGCTGCTGGTGCCACCACACTGAGCCCTGGCAACCCCCCCGACGCAGCCCAGAGCTGCCTTAATCCATGGCCCTGCTTAGGGGTCTGGGCAAAGATTAGCTGGAAACATTCCCAGTGATTAGGGCTTAAATCGCTTTGGCATTTCACATCTTCTTAGAGCTCATAGGTGAGACCCTGGCAGCTGTAAATCCCCTCAGTCCTTGAGGAAGTTACAGCTCCTGCACCGCTTGGGAATGAGCTTTACCCAGTTCTTGGTGTCAGAACAAGCTGCTCTGGGTAGTAAATCTCCTTCTGCTGGAAAGGGGAGGCCTGTAAATTGTAAAAATGGCAGGACAACACTGTGTATCTGCTCTCAGAGTCCCTTGTGCCACTTGGAATTTGGCTGGAAAGGAGCAGCCCACAGCAGCTGGAGCAAAGCAAACATTGTTCCATCTATAACACAAGTCCCAGCAGACAAGCCTGGCTGGCATTTAGGCACCAATTTATTTGAGTTTGAGATTTTTTTCCAAACTGGATTCTTGGCTGGTAGCAGAAACAACAAAAATTATGTTGTACATTCACAAATACATTTAGAAAACCAGGTAAATAAATACATGTGCACAAACAGCAACAACCCCTGAGGTTCAACACAAGCACTTGGCAGGAGCTAAAATACAAATACAGGGTGAAATCTGGGCTCTGTTTGATTTACTGACTTTTTGCCCCCAGCCAGGTGGGGTTCAAGTATTTCACACTGCTGGTTCTCCTGAAAAGATTTCAAATCCACAGCTCAGAAATTCACCCCACATCCAGGTCACCAACAGGGATTGCCCTCCCACCACTAAATGTTCATCCTTGGGTTCCCGGGCACCACGGGCCCCTTGCAGCTGCCGTGTCAGTCCGGGCTGTCACAGTGGTCTGTCCTGAGCTTTTCTCTCTCCTGCCATGACAGAAGGAAACATTCTTAAAATCATGGAATACTTTGGATTGGAAGGGACTGTCACAGCATATGTCACACTTGAGACAGCCACAATACACAGAGTAACACCATACAATATCAGAAAGCTTCAAGCATCTGCACTTCTTGTTCTTCAGCCCAGCCCTTTCTACCCCTCGTGGTTCATGCAGTGCTGGACCCATTGGGATGAGGCTCTGGGCACAGCCCCATCCCAGCTACCACAAACCGTGTGCCTACCAGGGACCTTTAAAGCTCATCCAGTTCCACCCCTGCCACGGGCAGGGACACCTTCCATTACCCCAGGTTTCCACTGCAGGGAATGCTGGGCTCCAGGACAGCTTTGATGGATGGAGATGAGGGATCTCTGAAGCTGCTCTTGGGATATCAGGTTTATTAGGGATGGAGAAAGGTCCTGCTTGGAGCTGCCAGACACAGCACGGGGCAAGGCCTGAGGGGATGAGGGAGGGAAGAGACAGGGGGTGGAGAGGATGCTCTAGGAAAGGGTGGAAGTTCTAAGAGAGGGGAAGTTCCAAGAGGCCGTGTGGCCCCTCAGAGACCCCTTATCAGGGGGCTTCAAGGTGGGCTGGAACAAGACTTGGGCCAATGGGGTCACAGACACTTGATGCTTCAGGGGAGGGTTACGGTGTGGGATGAACAGTACATTTTGGGGGTTGAGATGGAACAGTCCATTTGACTTTTGGACCTATCTGTAGGTAAGGGTATTGTCCAACCAGTAGGGGGGATTGTTTTCATCCTGGCTGTACTATTGTGAATCTTTTGCCAGGCAATTCTATTTATCCATCCTTCCCAACACTCCACCCCATCCAACCTGTCCTGGAACACTTCCACAGATGAGCAGCC